GCAAATGAGCATAAGTAATATTTGATACATTTGAAGAAAAGAGGAAAACAAGAATTGAAAAATAGATTTTTGGCATGTCATTTAATTAGGGATAACGATAGATGGGATGATTTTATGAGACGAAAATAAAAGATGAAAAGGTGTGACAAGGTTAAAATATAAGATATAAAATAATCAATTTGACCTTACCACACTTATTATTTTTTGTTTTTATCTCATAAAATCGTTTCTTCTATCATTATCCTTTAATTAGCATAATTTGCTCCATATATCTATGCTATTAAAAAAAAAAAAAAAGAGTGTAGCTTACTTTTAGAGTATAGTCAGTGATGAGGCTGCTTTCAACTCCTTTAATTGAAGTTGCCTGTGAATCATAATAATCATTTATGATAGAATCAATTGGACGCGAAAATCAGGTATGGAAACAAAAGAAAACTTGCTTTTGTCTACAAAGAAAAGAAAGGTGATAAGAACATTACAAAATGAATTAATCTTTTGATAAGAATCTTGATAAATTATAAACTATCTCCTAAAATACATGCATACACATTATAGATCACAATAATTGCACACGATATAAAAAACCTACCCAATTTGAAAGTCACTAATTAAAAAAAAAAAAAAAAAAAAACTTCTAATTATTGGCGGAGCTAGCTTGAGGGGACCTTGAGTGGGCCAGGCCCCCCTAAGCTTTTGTAAAATTAGAAGTTTAGTCCCCTGAATTTTATTTTTATTATATTTAATCTTAAATAGTTATTATCATTTTAGCTATTTTTTATTATTGAAGATTACCTTTAAGTGATAATGAGAAAGATGAGGAAAATATAGGTAAAAGAAATGATAAAAATAGGGATTAACTGAATAAAAAATTATTTAATATTGTTATTTCACAAAATGTTCACTAATAACCTTTGATTTTTGTTTTTTTAATAGTGATCTTTTAATCATTATATACAGTATATTCATTTTTTTCCTTCAGTTGATGGCATTTACATTACTTCATATATCAGCTACAATTATTATCATTAAAAATTAATAATTTGTTTATAGTAATTTTTAAAAAAATTCTCTTTAATTTGATCGACTTCTTAATACATACATATATACACTATTTCTTGCTCAAAGTTTTGCTTTACCCTGGCCCCCTAATCAATATTTATGGCTCTGCAACTGCGTCTAAGTGTCGTGCATCAATTACTTTCATGAATGTTACAATAAGAAACAATTAAATTTACCTTCATGAAAAGGTCTACTTCTGGGTCTGGGAATATTCCAGCATCCTTTTCCCTCCTTGCAAGTTCACTCAAAAGATCTAAATACATGAAAAAATAAAAATAAAAATAAAAATTTATTTGTTTAGAATTTTAACGTAAGAAGTCAAAATCATTAAGCTTCTTTGCTCTGTTACCATATCTTGTTCCAATTCCTTGACATCTTGCTGAGAAATCTAGTGTTTCTTTCACAGTCATTTCTCCGACATGAACATCATTTTGGCTAATGTATGCAGATGTTTTTTGGGGAACAAATTCATCGAGTTTGTACCCATTGTAAGTTACTTCTCCCCTAACCTGTTACACGCAGAATTAATCCACTCACCTTTATTCACGTCAGTTCTAATAATTAATTAAGACAATGCACACAAGTGTTGCGTTAGAATTGACCTTTAAGTTTGGATCCAATTTTCCTGCCAATGCCAGCAACAGGGTTGTTTTCCCAGACGAAGGAGGCCCTAACAAAAGGGTCATTCTACAACAAAACGAAGATAAAATTAATATAATTAAGGTCACGTCTAATATGTATAACTAGACATAATGAATGACCCCTTGAGTTAGTCATTAAAGGGGAGTCCATAAATATATAATTCAAAAAATATAACCTTAATTGGTCCGTTTTGAATCTGTTAAGTGTGTAGCGCGTATATATTATCCTTATATTTGTATAATTAAGTAGTAATTAAGTACCTTGATGGTTTGATTATACCCGAGACATTTTTAAGGATGGTGAGTTTCTTTCTCTTAGCCAGGCTGATTCCAAGCATACCAACAACGGAATCTACAATGTTTAGGGCAGTATTTGGAAGAGTTGGAAGGGCTCTGCTACCTATGTAGCAATCTGCTTCTACTGTTAAGTGCTCGTACCTGACCTCCACTGTTGGAAGTTGAATTCCAACCCTGCAATTGGAAGAAAATTATGCAATTATATATTTAACAAGGGTGATATGGGTTAAATCTATTATTTTGCAACTGTGTCTGTTTTTGTTTTAAATTATTCAAAACGATGGAAAGAAAAAAAAAATTCCTCAAAATTAGGAATGCCGAAAAACAATTGATTTACCTATCAATTCTATTTCTCAACTTCTTCAAGAACTTTTCATTATCTTCGTCTCCATCCTTAAATATCCCGTTCATGAACTTCTGCCGGTCTTCCTCGTTAAGTTGTTTAACATCTACTTCTCTAAGTGCCTGACCATCAGAATCTTTGATGATGCTTATTCGTAACCTGTTATATGTTGGTAGCTTCTCTATAGCAGCCCATCTAAGAGCTTCTTCTTCCTCGAAATGTCTTGAGTGTCTGCCACTGGCAAACCAACTCTTCCTGCTGCCACTTATTTCTTCAACCCAACTCTTTCTGCTGCCACTACTCATTTCGTTGCTCAATCAAACCTGCAACATTTGTGTTAGTGCATCAACAATGCGCAACAAAGTGCTAGTTGCTTCTTAATTATTGGATCGCTAAGAATACACATATATACTAATTTATACCTTCTTTATTAGGTATAAAACTTAATAAAATACTTAGCTTTTAAAATTTTGGAGAGTACTTAACTTACTTTTTGCTTGTTAAACTTTTGAGAGGGGATTAGGAAATAAAGAAGAGATGAAGGTCCGTTGATCCAAAGGGGAAGCATATGAAGGTTATATATAGATGCAAGCTAAAGGAAAATTTTATGATGTCAAGGATATAATTGGAAAAGATATTTTTTAAAAGCTTGTACAATAAATTAAAAATATAATAAAGACAAAACTTTAATTCATTAAATATACTCCCATTAGAATTCAATTGTAAGAGAGAGATCTTTTTGCCTTTTAAGATCAGTTTTAAAGTTATGGGAATTTGCAAATGCCCTGACATCAAGCCAAGCGCCGCGAATCTTTAATTCTTTGCAGTTAGCTCATATTGATCCAATCGCTAGCTTCTTCTTCTTTTTTTTTTTCTTTTTTTTTTTTAATTCAAAATTTTAAAATAAGTTAAATAAAATAATATTAATACGATTTTAAAGAACTTTATAATATATATATAAGAGGTTGTAAAAAATTAAGATGTCTTGATAGTCAAAACGTCTATCATAATTATTGATTTTGTGGATCTCAATTAAAGGTTCGCTTATTTAACCATTATGATGAATATTTTGATCTTGATCTTGATCTTGATTTTCATGTTTTCTTATATATATATATATGAGAAAAAATATTTTCTTAAGAGTTATATTTAAGAGTATTTAAAATGTAAGTTTATATAACAAAACATTAATTGTAATAATTTGATACTAAAATGAAATTTTCTATGGTACTTGCTCCAATATTCCAAAGATCTATGGTATTATATATGATCTCTTGTTTCTTATAATGCCTTTTTATTGAATGAGAAGCAAAGCGTGTTCTTATTTAATTGCTAGTTCTAGTTCCAAGAAATAAATAGGAGTAGATGATTTGAAAGATCAATAAGGATGAGAACGAGCGTGGAACACGTCGATATTAATTAAGGTCGGATTTTATGCAAATAGACATTAAGTGCCTCATGCTATGTGAGTCTTTAAATATTGGCAAAAGTGTGGTATAAGGACTCAAACTTATACAAAATTTGTAATTTCAAATTCAAAGTTCAATTGCACTCCATTAAGATTCTAAACTACATAAAATTCTCAAATAAAGTCTTAATTGAATAGAAAATTAACTTCTATCAAATCTCTTACTAATTTTGTTAATGTTCATTACTCTAAACTCTTGTTGTATTCAACTAGGACATTAACGGACATTAACAAACATTAACAAAATCAATAAGACATTTGATAACAAGAGAATATTTCATCCAATTGAGATTTTATCTGAGAATTTTATATAGTTCAAGACCTTGATTGAGTGCAGTTAAAGTTTGAGTCTAAAATTGTAAATTTTGTACAAGTTTGGATCCTTATATCATATTTTTGCCTTAAATATTTTTCTTGAGAAAATTTTAAGTTGAAAAAATAATAAAGAAATTTTGTAAGTTAAATATAAAGAAAATAATTTTTTATTACTAATTAATTTAAAAATAAATAGATATGTTACGTTAAAACTCATTTATCTAATTTTTACATATTATTAAAAGCTAATAAATTCCATTATGAAAGGTTTAGAGTCTTGCAACAGATCAGGCATACACAAAGGAAGGGCATATCAAGTTTGTTTATTAACTCAAGCTGCATGTGATATATCTGATCTGCACTTGAGTAAATTTGTAGTTAAAATTCACATAACAGAACTTAAAAAAGAAATAAAAACTATTTTACTTATAATCAATTAATTTTAAATTAAAAACAAATTTTATATTAAAATCCATATATCCAACTTTCATATTATGCTAAGTTTTATGTTTTGCTAGGTAACTTGTGGTAGCTAGGCTTATGTAGACTTTAGCTCCTCCTATGTTGCTAAATTATTTTTTTTTTATTTTTTAATTTTTTTTACCGGCTTTTTTTTTTGTCTATATATCGGGCAAAAATTGAAGTCTTGAGTCAAATGTAAATTTTCTTTTGGTAGGTTTTTTTTTTATCTCTCTCTAGGGTAAAATATATAAAATATTAATTAAAATTATTAAAAATACTAATTAAAATAAATTATTAATAATAAATTTATATTGTTAAATATAATGTAACGAGAAATACTGTTGTATAAAACACTTTCAAAATGAAGTCTAAACACGCAATAAAACAGAAAGCTATCACTAGCCATGGACTGCCCACCCAGCAAAGAAATGGTTCGCGAGGCGAGTAGCAAATTGGCAATGGACTACCCTTAATCTCTTGTGGTAGAAGTTGGCCTACGGTGAAATATTGAATAAGAGCCACTTACCTAACTTTTAAATCACATCTAATCTAATCTAATCTAACGTGAATTTAAGGGGCCAAAGCTAAACCACGACTCATGACGTGTTTTCGGCTTCAACCTTTGATGTGTATCACAAACGTCAACAATTTAAATAATATAATATATATATATTTTTTTTTGTTAAAAATAAAAAGATTTAAATTCAAATCATACGGTATATATATAGTTAGGGGTCAAGTCACGACTCATGACGTGTTTTCGATTTAAACTTTTGATTTGTATCATAAACATCAACAATTTAAATAATTTAGTGATAATTTTATTTTACTAAATGTAAAAAGATTTAAGTTCGAGTCATATGGTGCATAAGTAGAATGAGATAAGAGATAATAGATGATTATTTTTTATTATGCAGTCATGATTAAAAAAATATAACATTTAAAACTTTAATTTTAGTCAACGATCTAAATAACTCAGTAATCATCTTCTTTCGTTGAAAGTAAGAGATCCTGAATTCGAGTCGCATGACATACGAGTAGAGTAAGATAAATGATGAAAAATGATTGCCTATTGTGCAACCAAAAGAAAAAAAAAAAAACTTTAATTTCATTATTAAAATATAGAAGCCACTGTCCAATTCTAATTAAGAAAAGGAAAATTCACGTCTTTTGTAGTAAACGTAATGAATATCAAAAACATAAAAAGAAAGATCGCTAAGGTTTCAATTATCAACATTCAATTCTTCTAATGCAGGAAGCAATTAATTAATTGCTATGAGCAAATGCACTAATATTTTTAATTGAAAAAGAAATGATACACTTTTTAGTTTAATATATCTGTTAACACTCAATGATTTAATTATTAAATTCTGTAATTAAAATTTTTACTATCTTAAATTTAAATTTAAAAATAATAATTTTTTAATAAATATATTAAATAAAAAGATATATCAAGTATTGTATTTCGTGATTAGCTAGCGTCAACAGGACATGCACATGAATTTCATTTTCTCGTGAACAGTGTTCATTTTAATTAAAGAAATCACCTAATTGATTCCTCTGGAATTTGGTTTTTGTGTTAGAAGAACAAATTTTATACATTTGAGTAACGTGTTTATTAATCGGATGGTTAATATATTAAGAAGAATAATACCTTAAAATTATGCTAGCTTATTAATTTAATTTTTATTAAAAAAAATTAAAATAACTTATTTTTAAAATAAGTAATGATATAGAGGACAAAAATTTAATATAAAAATTTGGAATAAATGACATAACGTATGTCACGTTATTAAATTTGTTGATATATACAATATTATAGGTAAAAAAATAAAAAAAATTATTAGTAAATAATATATAATCTACTTTTTAATATTTTAAATGATATAATTTATGCCATATTATTGATATCATATTTTAATTTTAAATTTTCATCTCATCTATTATTATTCTTTTAAAATAAAAATAAAATTGGTTAGTCATTTTTTGTGTTGTTTTAATAAAATAATATAATTGAGATATTTTTTTAATATTTTAAAAGGTATATCTTGCTAATAAAATTAATATATATATAATTTATGAGTGTAAAACTTATGTATAAAAAAAAATTTCCGTAATTTCCAAGAAATGAAAAAAAATTTAGCTTGTCTTGACCAGATGCAGATATGGCCACGAGGCATACTGTTATATCCACATAAATCAACAACTCTTTTATCGGTTTATAATCTTTTTCATTCAACAATTAATTATAATATATGAAAATATCTATTTATAAATTAATTTTAATTTATAATAAATATTAATTGTTTATTAATTATTTTTAATAATTAAATTTAAATAAAAATTAAACAAATTGCGTAAGCCTAGCAAATGACCATATGACCATAAATCCAAACCCCTAAATCCGCGTTGGGTAAAAGATAAATCCACCCTTAAAAAAAATTATACAAATAATTCTTTATTTAATAACTACCGTTATCATATATTAAGAATACATTTGTCATCTAAATCCATCTTTATTAACAATTAAGTGTGATAATATTAATTATTAAATGATGAATTATTTATCTCCATCATCAAATTAAAAAGAATAATTTGTCAAAATTTTTATTTTAATAGATCTGTCCCTATTCTAAACAGATTTGAGGGTTTGACCTAACCATAACTATTGTTGTTAACATTGTGACCAAATTATGAATAACATATTCAAGTGATTATAATTAATTAATATTAAAACCTTGATGTAATAGCCTATTGCAACAAACTATTAGTTTAACGGCACCTATCAAAATTGAATCTTTAACTGTACCGTACCAAACTGAAGTATAGACTGTAGATCCAACATGCCATACTAGCTACTGGCTTGCACTAATGACAAACCTAATTCCCGGCCCCTACCTATGGCAAGAACCGGCCTCCCCGTGGTCCTAATCGCTGAGGGGTCATCTAAAAACACTCGTTTCATGGACCTCGGGTTCGAAGATCTGGTTATCAGGGCAGAAGCAGTAGCTATCAATCAAGAAGACGAGTGAAAAAAGAAGCCTTTCCCTTCAAATTCAGATTCATGTTAGGCATCTTCTTCGTGGATAAGACAATTTAGTGTTTTTTTATTGAATAATGCTGCTGCGGCAGAAACCTGTCATGCCGACGGACGGCCGAGCGGACGTGGCAATGCCAAGTCCGTTCGATTCCTGGTTCCAAGAAAGAACGTAACTAATTTAAAAGCCCTCAAGTTTATAGAACTAAATTTTTAAGTCCCCATATTTAAAAAATGGCATTTAAGTCTTTAAAATCAAACAAGATTACTTTAATTTAGCGCATTAGGGTGTAGTGATTGTAATATTAGGGATTAGATTATATTTTAGGGTTCAAGGTTTAAGGTGTTAGAATTTAAATTTTTTAGGATTTAGATTTTTTAAAATTGAATGTTTATTATGTTAATTAGGGTTTAGATTTTTTAGGATTCAATTTTTAAGAGATAAGGGTTTAGATTTTATTTTTGGATTAAGTGTTTAGGGTGTTAGGGTTTAGTATTTAAGGAGTTAGTATTTAAATTTATTGAGTTCTATATTTTATGATATTAGGATTAGATTTTTTGGGTTATATATTTTATAACATTAGGGTTTAGAAATTTTCACGTTTAATGTTTAATGTGTGAGAGTTTATATTTTCGAGATTTAAGTTTTAAGGTTTAAGATTTAATATTTAAAAATTTAGATGTTTAATAATTTAAAAATTAAAAGTATAGGTCCAAAAAGTGAAATTTTAAATTTAAGAAGAGAAAAAAAAAAAAAAAAACTATAGGGGACCAATCGGCTTGGAGACCAATCAGTCCCTATACCATTACCCCTTTTTATTACTTTACATGTTTAATTTTAATAGATTTAATTTTTTTTATTTCATAAAATAAGAATATAATAACTTATTAAAAAAATTTTATATTTATTCTTAATTAATCACTATTTAAATAAGCCTTTCTTATTTAATATAGTTATAATTATCTTTTTAGAACAAAGGTAAAATAAGAATAATTGCATTAAATAACATCTTAAGATGGAAAAGTAAACAACTAAATTCAAATGTCTCAAATTAGAAATTAAGTCTACTAAAATTGAGTAGATGAAGTATTATTTAATAATAATAGAATTAAGGTTCTTATCTTGATTAATTAATAAATTAAGTTTGTAATATTATTTAAGTAAAGAGTCTGTTATTTTATAATTTAAACTATAAAGTAGAGATTTTTAGATTGGAAGAAGATTCTTAATATCGAGGAAATAGGCCCTCATTTAATGATTAGTGTTTTACAATTTAATTTTATTCAGACTGCAAAACAAATTTTCATTTAGTAAATAAAAAAAAGTTAATGTGTATTAGTTTTGATAAATTGTGCTCTAGCCCATGTAGGGCTCATTTGATTAAATTTAGTTGTTGAAAGACTATATTTAAGACAATTGAAAAGAATTGAAAGTTTATTGGTTAAAGAGTAATTACATTAGACAACGTGGGGACTATATACTGCCACGTCATTAAAAAACAACGGAAAAAGGGGGTTAATTGCCAGAGATTAACTGTCGCCTTTTAAAACCAAGTTGAGTGACTACATTTACAAGTTTAAAAGATAAGTGACTAAAATGAAAGTTATATTTAAGGTTAGTGAGGTTAGTGACTACAGGTGCAGTTTATCAAAAAATGAAACTTAAGCGCCAGGTTTAATAATTAGTATGGTAATTTTTATATTATTTTTTTGTTTCATATATTGTTTTTAGATACTTTTAAATTTATCTATCATATTTTACTTTTATTTTAGTTTGGTATAGTTTGTTAAATTTCTAACAATAGTTTCACTCTATTTAATCAAATTTATCTTCAACTATATTTTTTTTTTTGTAAATTTTTATTTTTTAAAATTAATTTTGATATAAAATTA